AAAAATGGCCAAGTATACCCTGGACCCCAGAGGGTTAAACGTTTTTTTTTTTTTTTAAAGTAACGCAATAGTTACTTTCCAAGTAATTAATTACTTTTAGAATCTTGTAACTCAGTTACTTTTTTGAAGAAGTAACTAGTAACTAAAATTAATTACTTTTTCAAATTAACTTGCCCAACACTGCACTTGGGACCATCTGGCGTCTCAGTCAGGGTTGCTTTCATGGTCACTAAGACAACAGGCTGTTAGGTGAAAGGTGAGAGAATAGGGAAAAGCACTCAGTACATGTTTAGCAGAGTTTGTAGGTGCTGCTCCCCTGGATTGGACAAGGCGGACTGCTGAGAGGCTGGGACCAGCCTGGGGCACCGACGAAGGGAGAATTAAGTGTAAACTATGATTTCTCCCCATCAATTTTAATCAATCAGATAGATGCACAGTCTCATATTAAACTTTGTATACTGATAAGTTGAGGAACTCTGATCTGCAACTTTACAGCCTGTGGTCTTCTGAACAAAAGGGATCCGTGTACATGATAACATGTAATCATTCATCGCCTGCTTTAATAAATAATAATTAAAGAAAGAAGTGTTTTCCTGGGGATTCCTCAAGGTGGATAAACAAACACGCTTTCAAGTCACATAACTGACAGTAGCTGTTTCCTCCAGCTGGTTCGGGATAACGCTGAGCTCCGCTGTGAGCTGCCCAAATTGGAGAAGCGTCTCCGGGCGACAGCGGAGCGAGTGAAAGCTCTGGAAACTGCTCTGAAAAATGCAAAAGAGTCAGCCGTGAGGGATCGCAAACGCTACCAACAGGAAGTTGACCGCATCAAAGAGGCTGTGCGGTCCAAAAACCTGTTCAGGAAAGGACACTCGGCTCAGATCGGTGAGAAGATAACTTAAAACAGGCCAAGTCTGATATGTGATGTGATAGGCTGTTTGTCTTTACCTAAACTCACCTGTTACCTGCATTCATATAGCCAAGCCAATAAGAGCCGGTCATCAGCACCATCAGAATCCGTCCTTCTCCCATGCTATCCGACCTACCATTAGAGGAGGGGGTGCAGGGTCCAGCCCACGACACCAACCCCCCCGACACCAACCTCAGCAACATCTCCACCAGAGCAGCAGCAGCAAGTAGGCTCCAGGTGAGTCACACCTCAGAAACCATGGCACACAACTACAAAGCTCCAGCCACAACTTTATTTCTGTCAGCACTGCTTGTCAAACTGATCTGTTTTATTACAGCTCATTAAATAAAATGCTTGGGAGCTTTTCTACTGTATATTTGAGTGGAAGGATAAAAGACATGCTGTGGGAGAGAGCCAGAGATTAATAATAACTAATGATTAAATGCAGAGAGGTGTACAAACACATAGTGAGTGAAAAAGCTGACTGAAGAAGAAACACCCAGTGCATCATGGGAATCCCCCAGCAGCCTACACCCACATAGCAAGCAGGTCTGGCCCGGATCTGGTATCAAGCCGGGA